AGACATTGTGCTGGACCCTGATGTCACAAAGGTTCATTTGTCCTTTTATTCATGTATGCAACACCGGTTGACACTCGCTCTGTGTCAGGCACTGGGAACACAGCAGTGAACAAGATAGACAGCGTTCCTGCACCCACTGGAGCTTATGTTCTAGGTATATGGGGGTAGGTGAAAGGCCACATCCAAAAACAATTTGTAAGTGTATAGCATGTCAGGTGATGATAAGTGCTATGGGAAAGAAAAATTCTGGGTAAAGAGGTAAGAGTCTGGGGTGGGGGTGTTAATAGGGTAGCCAGGGACATTTGAGGAGTAACTGGAAGAAAGTGAGGGAGGCTGTCGTGGAGGAAGAACACTCCCGGCAGAGGGAGAGGTTCTCTGCAGGTACAGAGGTTCTCAGTGGGAGGCTGCTCTAAACCCTCCAGGGTCGGCACAGCGGCTGTTGTGGCTGGAGCAGGAGCAGCTAGGGAGAGATGGTGAGGGGTGAGGTCAGAGATGCTATGGGAGGCTTGATCCAGAGCGATTTGTAGACCACTGCAGGTATCATGGCTTTTACTCTGAGAAGGAAAGCCAACAGAGGGTTTCGAACAGAGAAAAGCACATGGTCTGACTATGTGTTGGAAGGTCCCCTGGTGCTGGGGGGAAGCTAAGCTGTCGAGGGGTGAGGGGGAAGCGGGGAGACCATAGGCTCGAGAACAAGGCCAGAGGAGAGATGGCAGTGGCCTCACTTGGGGGAAGCAGTGGAGGTGGTACGATATCATTGGTTTCTGGGTATGTGGATATATTTCAAAGATGAACCTTTTACAAGATAAGTGCAATAAGATTTTGACTGGGTTATCAGAGTTTGAGTCTGGTGGGGAAAGCAGATCTGTGATGGATCATTTCGGCACACGACGATAAGAGCAGTGGTAGAGATCCGGAGGAGCGTGGGGTTATGGGGATTCGGGGTAGGAAATGGCAGAAGATAAACTGGAGAGGTAGGTCCAGACCATGGAGGGTCTCACTGACCACGTTAAAAATGTGGACTTTATCCTGAAGTTGATGGGAACAGTTAAATGGTATTATCTAAGGAGGCAGCACATTCCGATTGTTGACCTAGCTTCTCCAAGTAGCCTTTGTGAGCGTGAGAAAGAGGACTCTGAGGAGTTCAGACTGCAGGCAGGGAAACCAGATAAGACATTGCAGTTATCCAGGGCAGAGATTAATAATTTATTAATCACTTGCTATACATCAAGTGCTATTCTAAGCATTTTATGTGTATTAACTCAAGCCTTAAACTCTATCAGGTAGGCACTATTAATATCTACATTTCTCCCGTGCATAGCCTTGAGTACGAAGAGGCTAAATAAATTTGCCCCAGTTCAGGGAGGTCACGCAGATCTGAGCAGGAGTAGGATTTGAACCCAGGCACTCAGGCTTGAGAATTGAGATTCTTCCACACTGTGCTACAGTGCATCTCATGAAGATGAGAGCCTGGAGATTTAGGGAAAATAATGGAGTGAATCTCTTATTCTGTCCCAAACAGAATTGTTAATTAGCCATAATTTGGCACTAGTGTTAATAGCAGCATCAGTAAGAAACCTACACTCATATTATCTCCTTTTCTTCTTACCGAGAGCTTGGACTATCGCTTTGCAATCTCATGCTGCCTTTCTCTATCAATCCATTCAGGGTGTCTCTTTGGATAAAACAGTATTTTGATGTCATCACCCTGTCAGGTAACTCAAGACCATGCTTTTGTCTAATCTCAGAATTTCTTACTATTGGAAGTAGCACATCAGATTCAGTGTTCATTGGTTCTCTTTTCCCCCACAGCTTGTGTTTGGGAGTAGCTCAAATTAAGTGAATTAGCTCACTGCCACCAGAACATCAGTGCTGTATGAATTTGTTGTGAAATAAACTGGTATCTGGGGAGAGAAGTGTATCTTTTGACTAATTACTCAGAATACAAACACAGACTGTAAATAATCATTATATAACTGTTACTGTTCTTACTGTCAAAACGTGGAGAAATAAGTAGTACAAGGAATTTATAGAGAAAACAATGTGTCAAGAATGCCTGACTTAGTTTGCCAAAAAAATGTCGGCTCTGCTGCCTTGCCTCTGATAGATTACCCCCAGGACAATCTTATTTCCTTCTCTGTTTAGATTCACAGAGGTATTGAACATCAGCGTCTTCTCCACGTGGTTGTTAATGATATTGTTATAGTTTCATAAAGCACAATGCTTACCATACCTTAGGCCAAATGCTAGCCAAAAAAAGCAAATAGAAACTTCTAGCCCTGACAGGTATTCAAGCCTTAAGTGTGATGTAGGGAAACAAAAAAATAGCGGAAAAAAAAAAAAGATTGCTCACACAAATATATCTTGTAGTCCTGGTGATAGGGCTGGAGGGCTACAGTCCATGGGGCCTCAGTGAATATTATTGGTGTCCCTATTTGCCCAAATGACAGATAAAGACAGTGGCTGGGAAGGAAAGGGACAAAGTCAAGATAGCAGAGTCTGCAGCAGAAAGGAGGGGAATGAGTTTTACATGGGAAAACCAGAAGGGATTGGAAATGAGTTGATGGCCACTGAGTGAGCAAGATTCAGGAGCCCTATGTTTTGGGAAGTAGAGTACCCTAAAACACAAAGTTCAGTGTTCTCAGCACATGCCCAGGCAGCTCTAAAGTAACAGCCAGCCCTACCCAGCCCTTCTTTCTCAGCTCACGTTCCAGGTAAGGAGCATTTTTATTTTTGAAATCCAGGTGCACAGTCAGGAGAAGGGAGAAAACAGTGACACCCATCTTTTTAATGAGCATTGCTACTGGAAGAGAAATTAGCATCACCCTGAATTTTATGTGATGTCAGTTAAATGAAGGTGTTTTATAGCACTTTACAACAAATTAGAATCAACTAAATTGAAAATAAGCCTAGCAGCTGGGATAAGTAATCAGGTAAGTGGCCAGTTTTGCTATTTTTGCTTTGAGCTGAAGACAGAATTTGAATTTTTAATGTCCCAGAGGTGTGAGATTCACAATTGGGGAACATGGTTTCTAGGATGATTGTTTAAGATGCAAACAGCTCAATCTTGCCCTCCAGTCTGCAACTTGCTTAGCCCGTTCCCTAGAAATTGGCCCTAGTGTATATGCCCGTACACCACAGAGAGGGCTGTGAATTAGTGTAGGACAGAGCTCTGCTTTTGGCTGAACGTCAGAGAGCAGACTGGAAATAGATGCCCCAGAACAAGACAGTTAATCATCCACATTAACCAAGAAACTTTAATGAAAGGACTGAAATTCATATGAAGAATTTATGGCCACTCATGAAATCAGCCCAAATCAGAGGAACTATTAGAACACTCTTATGTTTTAAGAAAATGGGTGCTGTGTTCAACTGCTGCAATTTGCATATAGTCAGAATGCCCTAACCTGGTAAATGCTGGCTTTGGTGGGCAGGGTTTTTACAGCAGAGCTTTGTACTCCATGAGCCAGTGTTTCTTTCATGAATTACTAGCTGATTTTAGTATCTTAAATATGTTCAGGAAACTGTCGAAAAGCCAAAAGGAGCTTGGCGAGGAAAACTATTCTGGGGTCGGTGGCCTGGGATGTACCTGATATGTATGTGGTTGCTTATGTAGGCAGAAAAAAGGGAGAAAAAGCTGAGAGGGGAGGGGGTGCTGGTAAAAATGAAACTGCAGATCTCTCAGAATGGGAGTATTAAAAGGGCAACAAATGGAGATAAAATGATGCTTGTAATTATGGTTTATAAAGAGAAATAGGCCATATTGAGTATATAATTTTCACTTTTTCTCCTCTGCAGCTGAGGGATTAAATGAAATAAACTAATCTACAGAAAACCCATGTATAATGTCTAGGTTGTTTTCAGTAAACCTTAAAGGAAAATAAAATCTGCACAGATTTCTTCCTACTCTCTGGTTATAAACTTTCTATTTTGAAACACTTTTCTCAAAATATTTATATGTTTACTATTTTCTCTTGAAATGTTTTATCTTAAAAAGTCCAGATACCTTTTCGGTACCTAATTACTAAAGCAGCAGATAATTTTTTGCTCATGAAAAATAAAAATGGCAAACAGCACATTCTCCCGTCATTTCTTCAGTAGTAGTAACTTCTTCCCTAACCAATAGCCCTAACTTGGCTTTCAGTACTTTATCCTTTAAGGTTCGAATATGGAAAAAGTAAAGTTTTAAATTTCTATCATTATTACCTTTTGATAATTCTGTTCATAAACAGTACCCTAAGAGAGGGCTGAGCAGGAAAGGCTGACTTCTCTACTAGGATATTGAATATGTCTTGACACCATGGAGACAGATCTCTGGTGAATCCTGAGATCTGTCTGAAAGCATATCTTCAATTCTGAGCTCCAAACCGACAGCCTCTAGTACTTGACCATGTTCAGCCAACTTAGGTATTATTCAAGGTGGCACTTCACGGGCTTAACAGATCATTGTGCTCTGAAAGCATTAAAACATGTGCCTGAGTCATAGAGGTTATCCACTGTATTTTGCTACTTTGATAAAAAATGGGTTCAGAGAATTGAGTGAATTTATAGGACAGGAGTTCAAATGTGCTGACCTTTTATTTCCAGAGAGTTTTTTTGCAGTACCTCTCCTTTTTGTTTTGTACTGCCCTCTCCTGGCTAATAAATTTCCTAGTAATGAGGGTTCAGAAAAAAACCAAGTGGTGGAAACACTGGGGACGATATGATTTCCACTTTCCATTAAAAAGTAATTTCAAATTTTACTATATGAAATGTGGGGCTGACATATACTGATTAATTCAGATGTGCATAGATACAAGGTTGTTGAAATGATATCAATTGTTGTAGAAAATACCTATATGAGAGTAATTTGGTCATTTATATGGACTTTGCAATGTCTGTGAAGGAAATGATTTTGGAGTTTATTGCATCATTAGTCAAATTTTCTGAATCATTGATGTGAAAATCCAGTGTTATTGGAAATAAATCTGACGCTTTATCTCCATGTTTGTATTTTACAGTGGCTGCTAATTTACAGAAGATTGTAGATGATCCCAAAGCTTTAAAAACATTGACATTTAAGTTGGTAAGTGGAAAGTTTTGGAAAGATGGTAATATTTTGCCAGGCTGTGCCAGCGAGAATAATAATATAGTTTCATAATCTGCTCTGTAATTTGTTATTGTTTTCTTTTGGGATCAATTTTTACACTCATCATTTGCCTCTGCAACATTTGGAAACATTTTCTGATCATGACTGGAAATTTCCTCTTCCATCTGCCTAGCTCGTTGTTCTATTGTCACATCTTTGACTGACAGTGGCCATTTAAGAGTCTTCCAGTTTGTGTGGCAACTTGACCGTACAGACGCAATTAAACTGAATTCAAGGCAACATTCTTTTTTTTGTTGTTGTTAATTTCAAGATACTAAGGGGTGCAAATGTTTCTGTTACAGGGATACCTTTTGTAATGCTTAAGTCAGAGCTTCAAAACAACATTCTTAATAAAGCTTTCCTGAAGCGAAAAGCCAAGGGGTTCTTAACTTTTTAAAAATAGAGGCTGATTGTTGTAGAAATGGTTTAAGTACTTGGAAGTAATTGTAGCACAGCTCGCCCAAGGTTGGTGAACAAAGGCATCATAATGTTTTACCTCCACATTTCCAATCACAGTAACAGACTTTTGTAGAGAGGAGATAATCCAACAGTTTTTCTGCCCTAGTAGATATTGAACTTAAGTTCTGGAACAGAGATATAGAATACCAGACGTTCTGCTGGGGTCATCATGAAACCCAGAGGTTATGGTTGTGGCTAGAAATGGAGAGAAGTCCAGATAGTCAAAAGTGACCATTTTCCTGAAAGTTTTGTAGCAAACAGTACCTTAAGGTCTACTAAGTGGCTCTTTGTAAAATTATAAATTAATTTTATCAAAGGCCAGTGAGAATGCCACAAGCAATTTAAGATCTGTATGACCAACACTTTGCTGTGTACAACCTATATTGATGATCTTTTTTATTTTTCATGAAAAGTAAAGGGAAAATGTGTGTGGCCAAAAGTGCTAAATGACTAGTTACAGTAAATGTGAGTCTGGTGCTAATTGGCTTTCCGGGTCTTGCTTCTCATCTGATTTCAGATAGCTAGGCTGTGTTATAAAAGAAAAGCACAAAGGTTTTCACAGAAACAATGTATCTGAAGAAATTCTTAGTGTTTGATAAGCAAAGAACATTTTATTCAGACATAGAGTACTAGATTAACAAATTGGAAAATTCCTCTTCTGGTTTGGGACTGCATTGTCTCCACTGTTTGCTTTCTAATTCACCCCCAGTTTTGTAAACATGTTTCATTTCTGTGCAAGTATATTGATGAGAAAATGGCATCCTGTGTCAGCATTGCAAGCCAATATAAATGTCCTTTTATTCATTTTTTATACCATCTCCAAGATATTTTCCTAATATTGAATATATTCTTGTCTCTAAATTCACTTTCTTATAAAAGAGGAACAGCAACCCTGGCCCTTTCTGCTATTGAAGGTTTTATAAAAACAGCTACTATACTATTAATATCTCCAGGTAAACAGGAAGAATAATATAAAACTCTCCCTCATCTCCTACTCCAATTCACTTACATGTTTCCTAGATTCCCTCTTGATTCTGTCCCCCTCCCTGCATGTCCGTTTTCGGCACGCTAGCAGGGTTCTCTCATCTTCAGAAACTGATCTTCCAGGAGACAGTTTGCCAGCTGCCGGCTCTGCCTACCCCTCTGTGGCTACAGCCGGAGTAATCCTACAATTCCAAAGTGCCCCGGAGGCTTTGGTGGCTCCCCATTGTCATCTTCTAAACGCCCCCTCTCCCCGGACATGGCTCATGCAGCCCTTCCTGGCCCGGCCTCCCTCTAGCTCTCTTGCCTTACCTGTACCTGTGGCGGCAGGTGCATTTCACGTAGGGGACCGTGAGGCTCTCTGGGGTTAACTTGCCCGGGATCACACAATGGAAGCTGTGAATACAACTCTGGTCTAGCCACAAAGCCTATGCTCTCAACAACTACTCATTTGTAGATGCAGGCCCCTTTAGGCTTATAGTTGTACAGTTGTCTATCTTTGCAGATTCATCCTTTTGGGTGACTGGATCCATTTACGTTGGCTGAGACTGAATGTCGTGTACTTAAGCAGATGGAGCAGTGGTGGCCTGTCTGGCATAAGAGTGTCCTGGAAGCGAGTCTATACATGTTTTCCTTCCCACTAGCGCTTGAGAATATAGTAGTGTGGTGTTCAGTAAATGGAAGTTAATGGTGGTTTTCTCCCAAAGGTAGTTAAATATGTTAAATGTTGCAAAACCTTACTTCTGTCACTTAACTCTCCGTCTAGCCCTCATTAAACCTTGCGAGGATTTCTTTGTTGCCAGCCCATTTGAGATCCACTTGACAGAGCTAATTTGAACAGATTTTTGGCCTAATCCTCTGTAGGACACTAACATCCTGATAAAACCACAGAGATTCAACCGCATTTTCCTTCATTCATCAATTTGATTATTTTATTGAGGAATAAAAGATGAAAGTATTCCAGCAACATTTTTCCTCATAAGCTGCTGCTGCTCATGGTTCTTTTATCTCTCTGCTGTTTATCATTATTTTAATCTCAGCACTTTCATTGCTTTCTAAAGGTGAATGTCAGGGGCCTGAAAATTGCCTAAAGAACTGCAGAATCAAGATACCGTGGTTCTTTACCTCACCGCACAGTGCTTTCACTCAGGGGACCGTGGGCGTGCTTTAAAAAATTGCTAATGCCTGGATCCTACACCAGATATCCTGATTTAATTGCTCCTGGTGCAGTCTGGGCTTTGGGAATTTTGACAGCATCTCTTGGTGATTCCAGTGTTCAGCCACGGCTGAGAAGCATTCCATTTGTAGATGGCTCAAGCTCCACTCTCTTTCCTCTCCCTCCTCTCACCACTGTTGGAAATACTGGGTTCAAGTTTGAAAAGATGTCTGTCCTTATTGTGTATTTCTGCTTATATAAGAAAAACAATAACCCATGGGGCAAGGATATTGGTTATGTAAAAAAAATGCATTTATTTATTTTTCTTGCAATGGTAATTGCTTTGGAGGTCTTCTTCAAAAATTCTTTGCCTAGGCCGATGTCTGAAAGGGTCTTCCCAACATCATCTTCTAGAATTCTTAAGGTTTCATGCCTTAAGTCTGTTATCCATCTTGAATTGATTTTTGTGAGAGGTTGGGATCCAGTTTCACTCTTCTGCATGTAGCTATCCAGTTTTCCCAGCACCATTTATTGAAAAAAGATTCTTTTCCCCAGTGTATATTTTTGTCTGCTTTGTCAAAGATTATATTACCATATGTGGATGGTTTCATCTCTGGATTATCAGTCCTGTTCCAAAGGTCTATATCTCTGTTCTTGTGCCAGTACCATGCTGTTTTAGTTACTATAGCTTAAAGTCTGGTAGACTGACACCTCCCAGTTTGTTCTTTTTACTTAAGATTGCTTTGGCTATACGAGGTCTTCTCTGGTTCCATACAAAGCGTAGAATTATTGTTTCTGTAA